CTCTCTCTCTCTCTCTTGTGCTCATCCCTGTCTCAGAGTAAGGACGTGGCGGAGAAACTTGGGCTGCAGAGCAAGCTTCCCAGGATTCAGAAGCGCTGGGCAATGTGGATGTGGCAGAGTTATCACATAGAGCAGGTGAGGGCACGAGAGGAGGAGGAGGAGGAGGGAGGGAGGGAGGGAGGGAGGGAGGGAGGGAGGGAGGGAGGGAGAGAACGAGTGCAGAGGGGAACGTGAAAGTGAAAGGAAGTAGAGCACAGTGAAGAATATGAAGGATTTGAAGCAAGAGACAGGAGAAAGCAGAGAGGCAGCAGCAGCAGCAGCAGCAGCAGCAGCAGCAGCAGCAGCAGCAGCAGCAGCAGCAGCAGCAGCAGCAGCAGCAGCAGCAGCAGCAGCAGCAGCAGCAGCAGCAGCAGCAGCAGCAGCAGCAGCAGCAGCAGCAGCAGCAGCAGCAGCAGCAGCAGCAGCAGCAGCAGCAGCAGCAGCAGCAGCAGCAGCAGGGGCGAGAGGTTCTTACCGAGCTCTTCAGATGCACAAGAATCGAATGGTACAACGGAAGTATGACACCATCAACAGCCATGCTACAAAGTCTTGGGTATTATGCACTCCCTCGACTCCTCCTCCTCCCCATCTCCCTTCCTTCCTCCTCCTCCCCTTCCTCTTCCTCGCCCCAACTGCTATTCCATCATACCCTTTCCCGTTATCGTCTCCCTCCCTCTTCCTCCTCCCTCTTCCTCCTCCCTGTTCCCCCCCCCCCCCCCATCTGCCTCCTCCCCATCCCTCACTCGTCTCAGGGTCTCTCTACCTGGAAGGAGTGCGCGAGCGGCAGCATCATGCTCCGCCGCTTCACTCAGACCCGGGAGCTCAACGAGAAGAACCAGGAAAGAGAGGAGGAGGAGGAGACGGGGAAAGAGGGGCGGGGGGCGGGGGAGGGTGAAGACGTCACGAGGAGGAGGAGGAGGAGGAGGAGGAGGAGGAGGAGGAGGAGCAGGTTGGAGGAGGGAGGAGGGGAGATTGACATTTCCATACAGGAGCTGATTTACTTCCTCAACATCACATGGAGCAGAGTGGTGCACATGATTATCGAGAAGTACCTCTTAGATCACGCCGAAGCTCTCAAACGAATACATGTAGGAGAGAAGTGGAGGAAAGGAAGGGAGGGGAGGGGAGGAAGAGGAGGGAGGAGGTGGTGAATGTGTTCTCATGCGATCCACAGAAAGACAAGGAAGAAGTGTCTGCGGAAGAAAATGCGCTCAAAGCAGTCACGGGCAGGAACCAGAACAAGAAGTGAGGGGGGAGGGAGGGGAGATGAGAAGAGAAGTG